GAACCAGAAACACCTTGTGAGGAAGAGACCTGTAACCTCTGTCCCCAGAGGGGAAATATTCTCCCTAACCATGTGGAAACCAACAGTCTCAGCCACAGCCCACAGTTAGTCCAGCCTGACCCTGGAAGCTCAGGACTTCTTCAGCATGCTAGGAAGCAGAACTCACTCTAAATGTAACATGATGGATCTCAGAATCAAGAGAACTGCTGTTATTTAAATAACAGTGCTTCTTAGTTTTTATAGGCAATTTATATTTATCCTGGAGCTAACTGGAGAATGACTTAAAAGATTTCCAGTAGCCCCAACAGAAACAGCTTCGGGTCCTCAGAAGCTGGGATTCTAACCCTGGGTGTGGTGGGGTTCACTTAGTGCAGATAAGGCCAGCTTTAGGCAGTTATTTTTCTCACCACTCTGCGATATTTGCAAATGTAAAGTACTGTGCTCTATAAGCCCTGCCAAAAGTCACCCTTAAATACTATCTTACTTAAAATGGAGGGGATAAAAGTAAGGTCCCCCTCATCCCGCTCCACCAAAGTTGACTCCATATAGAGGTATTTTATTTCTTCTATGAGAGACAGTGAGGGAGGATGTCACAGAAATAATACAATCTGTCTTCTCGGACAGATCCGAAGGTCCAGCTGCTCTTTTGCCCTCGTTATTTTATATTCCTTTATTTTTATTTACACATTTATATTTTATATATAACGCAGCCTTTTAGCTTATAAATGTACACACACAAGCCTTCACCCACCCCGTTGTTCACTTCTTCCGTACATTTTTTGACTAAAAGATATTAGTAGAAAAAATTTAATACGTTACTCAAGTGTTTTAATAAATTCATATTGAGTTATTAAAGCCATTAAAAAAACAACTGAAAGGGCATTCATTACAAAGACAATGAATCAACTGAGCATGCTGGCACATGCCTGTAATCCCAGCTCCCAGCAGCAGGAGCAGGATGATTGCTGCAAGTTCAAAGCCAGCCCAAACTATATAGCAAGACTCTTAGTACAAAAGAAGAAGAAAAAAAGGATTCACTGAAAGGTACACTACAAAAATAAAATCCTTTCGCACACTTAAACTGCTGCTAAAATACTGAATTTAAAAAAAAACATAAGTTGGGATTTCTACTCAAAATTATTATTGATTTTATTCTTTAAAGACTACCGAATGCAAGCTTAGTTGGATATTCTTAAGATCTGAAAGCCATTAGAACTAATTCAGATGAATTCGGCTTTGTTCTTCAACTTCCTGTAAAAATACTCAACAGGAAAACTGATGCTCACAGTAAACCACAGCCATCCTGTTTCTTTAACGCGATCTCTTCACAGCTGTAATGCCGGTAGTTTGTATTTTATGAGAGTCATTGCAACACCCCTCCTCACCACCAAGGAAGTGTATCTTGCTTGGAGGTTCAGAAACTCTTAATATCTTCGCAGCAAAGTCTGTTGCTGTTGTTGCCCCTCCTTTCCTCAGTTTGAAGGTCCCTGCTCAGAGCAATGAGGCAATTCACACAAAAGAGAAGCGGAAAAGGCAGCTGGCCCCAAGAGGAAGCAGAATGCAGAGAAGAGGAGCTGCTGTCCTTCGTGAGCAGGTCAGCAGCCTCGCTACTGACCGCTACTGACCGCTGCTCTCCATGTGCATTGCTCTCCCTGTGCACTCGCCGTGGAGCCAGGCCGCTGTGCGAGGAGTCTCCCGTGTCTTGGAATGCACTCGCTCTTTTCTTGGGTGATATCGTTTACAACAACAGCTGAAGTGACTCCACTTAGTGGTCTTCTCAGTGGTGATGGCTGCGTGTCTAGTGGAGGCCTTCACTACACCACTCATGCTCCTTTTAGAGCTCTTCCATTACAGTTAATGGACTTAGGGGAAAGGTGGAAAAGACATTTTTCAAAGAATGCTTTTTTCACTTGCAGGACTGGGAACTGAAATTCAGGCCTTAACGTTGAACTACATCCCCCTCCCCTCCCTTAAAAAAATATTTGGAGACAAGATCTTGCTCAGTTGCTAAATTGCCCAATTTTAAGAGTAATTGCCAGGGAAATAAAGGTTAATATGAAGTATTTTAAATCAACTATGATGTATATTTAAAATTTAATACAAATTTATAGACACCTAAGACCCTTTGGTCGTGAGAAAATGAAGTTTAGCTGAGTGACTCACCGACCTGTCGTTAAACTAAGGAACAGGAAAAAGAGATTTTTAAAAAGTGTCAGTTTTCTTCCCATTTCCTCCTGTTTCCTCAAAGTACTGTTTTAGGGGCTCAAATGTCAACGATACAGTTTTCCTAAATTGTGAGCACCACACTTAGTTTATCCAAAAGAGTAAGATTTGTCCCTGTTCCCAAGTACACAGGAATACATGTACACACACACACACACACACACACACACACACACACACACACACACACATATACACACTGGGGTGCAGACACCAACACACCACACCCACCTCCACCCTTGATACATTTTATCATTAAAATGTATCCTCCTAATATAAGCAGAAGTGTCACCAAATTTACTTCTTAGGAAGAGAGAGATATCTTAATTTGAGATGAATCATTTTAAAGATACTGCTGCTCTGATAATTAAAGCACTGAGAATCCCAGATTCCCACAACCAGGAAAAAGACCTCGAGAACTTGCATGGTTTATCACATTGACTTTAAACTGCGCTTCATGGAAAACATTCTTGAAATTCAGAAAAGTTCTTCCATCTCTAGCTGTTAGATGGTATGGAGCAAATTACTTAGCCTCTCTAAGTCCAGTTTCTGCAATTAAATGGTGATAGTAGTACTGTATCTATTTAGTAGGGTTATTCTAAAGTTAAATGAGGCAGTGCTTAATATGCATTAGCCATTTGTTAAAAATAAAATAAGGAAAGTGAAGTGTATAACATACACCAAGTGGTCAGTAAATGTTACCATCTCTCTCCCTATTTAACCATGAGAAAGAGAAACCACGGCTGATTTAAAACTCAGCCTACGCACACCCACGCATGCGAGCCTCTGTACCACAAACCAGGAAGGAACATGAAGTACCACTTTAATTTCTCAGAAAAGTATATTTATGAAGGCATTTCTTATTCTAGTAATTTTTTTCAGTTTTAATTTTCAGGGCTGATAGTCACAGAATATCGGCAGAGGTATTTATGACAGTCCAGGGAACGTGTTCTTTGCAAGAAGAGGCACATATATTACAATTTGGAAAGACAAAACAAAGCAAACCTCAGAAGCGGAACTGTATTACAAGTTAAAAGGACAGAAACTTCCAAAGTAAATGATATATTCATTAACTGTTCCGCAGATTTCACAAAGGCATAAAAGGCAAAGAATTAGGGAGCTCACCTCCCCTTATGTCTTAGCATAGGCTGACAGGCCAGATCTAAATGCGATTTCCTTAATAATCAGACGGGAACTCAGCTGCTGAAATCCAGGGAATAATGGTCACCACTGGGACTTTTCTGAATGCTACAACTCGCCCAGAATGTACTTGAACCTTCAGAGTTTAGATATCAGAGTAGCTGAAGAGCTGTGAACAAGTTCCCTGTGGACCCTCTCACAAACTTTCAAAGAGCATTAGCAAAGCTGACTATGATTTAGAGTAAACCACGCAGCAGTGATGCTGAACCTTTTAGAGCTTTCAATGATACAAACAAGCCATTGCAGCACGCAGGACCCTCTTCAGACCTATAATACGGAAAGTTTGGAGTACATCACATTCTAATTCAAAAGAAACAAAACTACATGAAGCTCACATGATACTCTAAGCCACACAATCCAAGTGAACCCCAAGAGCAGGGCTTCCACACTAACAGATCCCAAACCTTCCCCAGCCTCTTGTCTCCTCTCTTACCATCTTGTCTTAGTCATTCCCTGCCACCAGGCTTTCTCTCTACCAACGTATCCTACTATTCTTAACTAGAACTTTCTGCAGCCTTTCCTTCATTTACCACACACACCTTTGTTTTGCACTGTACGCACTGCAAAATGTATTATGCCAGTATATTATTGAAATGAATTTGTGTTTGATTCAAGCCGTACATGCTCTCCTAATTTTTTAAGCCTTTACTGAATATTTTTCTAGGGAGGAAAAAAGGAATATAAGTCAAGTTTCTTTTCCATGCATATCCTAATTTTTTTTAAGATAGGGTTTTGCTTTATATATTTCAGGCTGAACTTGAACACACTATGCAGTCCAGGCTGGACTTGAACTCACAGTAATCCACCTACCTCGGCCTCCCACGCACTGGGATTACAGGCATACACCACCATGCCCAGACTAAGAATTTCTGAAAATACAAAGTCATTTTCAAAATCCTGCTCTGTGAGTTTCTGAGTACATGGCTTGAAATTTTAAATTATAGTATTTATGCCAAAGTTTAATCGTAGTAAATGTAAACAGAATTTGATTTACAATAGTAATGTACTACAATGCTTCAGTGGAAACAGAACTGTTCTAAAACACCATCTGTCTTCTTCCTAACAGACTTCTTAGAAATGCTTTAGTTTAGGAGTTGAATTTAACACATTTACAGCAATAGGACAACAACAGTTTTGTTCCAAGTATAATGCTTGGTACTTTACTTTGGTTTGAAGCTGCCAAGGACTCTTTCTACTTTAAAATATTACTGTTGTTGGCCAAACTGAGGCGTCCAAGGTAGCTGCATAGACACCTCGCACCTTATACCAACAGGACATGTTTCCTCATTGGAGCCCCCATCTTAAATGGGAAAGTAGGGGAAGAAATTCCTATGGAACCAAATTTGTCCAAAGGCCAAAACAATTCTACCCAAAATGTTGCTCAGATCTTAGCTCAAAATACAAGTTATGAATCACTCATAATCATTACAGTGGACAACAGGAGTAAGTCACATGGTCTTCTAACTAAAACATTAAACAACTTTATCTTGACATACGGTGGCCCGTCACCAGCCATTCTAGTTCCTCCTTCTCTCTGATAAAGGAAATACATTTAGTTTGAAAACAACTTTTCTTACCGTTAGAAGGAACTGTAAGGAGGCATGATCAGGGATACAGGCAGACAGAGCGCAAGCAAGAGCTGAGCCAAGAGAGAAAATCATCCCTGCAAAAGCATCCTCTTCTAAGACATGCGTTCCTGGGCAGCCATTTTGGACAGGCCCCGGCCTCTTCTTCAGTGTGACATACTGACTCAGAGGCAGATGTCCTTCTGTGGTGTTCGCTTCCTGTCTGATTAATTTGTTGTTTGTTCCTTCCTCCTTTGCTTCAGAAAAAGAAACTAGATTGGTTTTACTTAAGAAGCAAGCAAAAAAAAAAAACCCTAAATTAAAAAATTAAATGTTTCTGTTTTCCACAAAGTATAATATAGCCATTTGGTATGGTGACAAGACAAGAGGAGTTCAGCACCTCCATCCAGTTAACAGCCTGACTTTATTTTAGAAATCTCTACAAAAAAATAATTGTTCATGGGACTTGAGATTCCTTCAAAAGAATTCAGTGTGAAAGCATCACTCTCAATTCTGACTATTCCACTTAGTATAAAGCAGAAGAGTCACTCAAGAAATAAAAGCTCTTAAGTATACTGATAATTACTGTAAGTGATCCTTCCTCATTTACAGAGCATTCAAGCGTGTGGGGAGAAAGTTACAAATGCAGACGAAGAGAGCAGGTCAGGTGTAGGAAGGCAAATGAGTTGTGTAATGTGGTTGGGGTGCCTCAGTCAAGACAAATGAAATCCAGCCCGGGTCAGCTGCAGATGCACAGCTCCCCAGGCCCCCCGAGCTTCAGAGGGTACTAAAAACTCTCCCAGAAGATGCCTGACACAAACATACAAGAAATGAGGGCAGGAGGAGGAGTCAGACTTCTCCCTTTTAAGGGTCTCTAAGACACAGGTGGCAACAGATTATATGTGGATAATACACGTCAGAACTCTGACTTAGGTATAGTCTAGAGCAGTCTGAAAGTGCTCCTAATTTTCTCTTGATACAAGTGAAAAGATTTTAGACTTTTAACTGTAATGTATACAGTGTAACTCTGAGAAGTGTATCCTGGGAGAATGAAAAACAGAAGCATATTTCAAAAACTTTACTGTAAAATGTGCTGGTTGGTTCCTGATTCTGCTGGATTCAGAGCAAAGATGTACCGAAGACTTGATGTTAGCACACTTCCCTTTACCTACAAACGCCTGTACTGGGTGAACCAGTGTTCTCAACTCAGGATGCTGTTGGAAATTCATGGAAACAGTTTCAGCTGAGGAAATTTGTGGGGTGCAGTGGGTGGGATGGTGGGAGGGCCCATGAAATTCAGTGGGGGGGGGGCTGTGACACGGTGCTTAGGACAGACACCAGAAGAGCTCCTAGACAGGAATGCTGGGGTAGATGATGTCTCAAGTTCCTCCAGACTCTAGATTCTCTGAGATCTGAATGGAATTGCTCGAGCAGTCCCTGAGTGTGCAGCGTCAGTAGAAGTAGCAGTATCAGTACAAGTCCCTCACTGTACCTGGGGCCACTTGAAGGACTGCATTTCTAACAGGGCTTAGAATCCCAAAGACGATTAATACAGAATAAATACAATATGAATTTGGATGGAGGCAAAGCCCTGTAGCTGTCATGTCCTTTGTCCTTTGCAAACTCTTGCGGCAAGAGAGAATTTGATCAATTCAAAATGTCTGAGTGACTCTCCTGGTGGAAATCTAAAGTGTAGTCAGGTCTAAAACTGTGGTTCATATAATGATTTTTCTATGTATTTACAGAATTATTTTTGAAGTTCACTGAGGCACCACACACACACACACACACACACACACACACACACACACAGATACTCAGTATGTTGTTAGTGACAGCTCAGTAAGAATCCAGAGTGTCATCTAGAAGGCAGGAGCTGTCAGAATGCAAACTAGCAGTGGTAAGAAGTCTGCATCCAGTCCAGTGAAGGCAAAGTTTTTAGAGCTTTCAATGCTAACAGCAGCTGCTGCACGCATGGTGGAGGTGGCGCCACCACTGGTCTAATCCATCTTTCATGAGAACTTGTAAATGCACTCGACATTGGGTACACTTATTCGGGACCTAGTGTGTGCAATAGGACATGAACTGGACAATGCTTCCCCTCTGCTTAGCCCCCTCCAGTGTTTTCTCATTTCTCTAAAGTCCCAGTTCTCTGCCTGGGGGGCCACAGCCCACATGATCTTGCACCCTGGCGCTCTGAGTCCCTCTTGCTTTTTTTACTTCCCAGCCTTTTCTGTTCCTTAACTGCACCAAGCTCATTTGCATCTCGCAAGTCCTCTTGCCTAGGACACTCCACTCTTGGTCCCTTCACATTCTTTAAACATCAGCAAAAGAAAGGCCCATCTCTTCTGTTCTCTTCTCTTGATACATTACCACTTAACATTTTCTTATTTGTATGTCTCCACCAGAGTTCAAGCTCCACAAAAGCAAGACTAGGTCTGCCTTGCCTCCTGCTATCACCTCAGTGTTACAGTCAGGAGTTGTGAGGAGAAAAATTCCAACCAGGACACAGAATTTATAATAGTATTTTATGATGGTTACCCAGAGTTAAGAAAGTTCAGGAAATCTGTTCACAACACTAAAGACTCAGAATGTTCAGCCAAGATCCTAGATTCCATAGCAATGTCCTGCATGAGTCCAGAAGACAACCTAGAGCCCAAGACAGTGCCTCCCAGGAGTCCAAATGAGGTCTAGAGCCCATGAGAAGAACTCAGACCAGTCTGTTTTATGGATCTGCACTGGAAAGGGCCAAAGGTCGGTGGTGGAAGCTAGAGAGTCTATGTCAGTGGGGTGAAGGAGCTGTACTGGTAGGTTGAGGGTTCTACACTGGAGCCAAGAGGTCATGCTCAAAATAAGGAACAGGGCTGCCCTGAAAAGTACCACAGCCATCCTCAGTGAGGTCTCAAGCACCTCTGATGATGAGAACTGTCAAGTACATGCCAGAAAGCCAGCGTGACAAGCTTGTCCTAGAGATTAAATAGCACATATCTTTGAAGCCCTCTGGAGCCAGGAAGTGATGCTTGATGTAAGGGCCAGAGCTCCCCCAAAGTGTACCACAGCCACTTTCAGCAACAAGGTCCTGAGCTCCTCTGATGATAATGGCTAAACTCGCACTGGGGAAGCCACCATGACAAGCTCCTCCAGGAGAACCAATAGCTCGAAACAGCAACACTTAGGAGAACCCACAACACCTAGCTCTTCTCCACATCTCTATTTATGCTGGCAACTTTCCTCAGGTGTGCCATCCACACTCAGCATCATGCTGATTTAATTTAGCTGGAGTTAAGTTGACCACCAGTTTTTAATCCATAACACTCAGCGTCTCATATAATATAGTGTCTAACACCTGGCAGGTGCTCAGTAACTAGTGTTTACTGAATGATTAAGAAAATCAGTATCTCACACAAATTCTTCTAAAAAATTTGAGCTTTAAGAGCTTAAGACTGTTCCTCCTGAAATAATGCCAAGATTAGACTTAAACCTTCTTGGGAAAAGTTGTTATAGGGCTATTTTCTAGAGGAAAGATCAGTAGGTAAGACACACTAACCAGGTGGGCTCCACAGTGTGTGTGAAGTCATGCAGTGTGAGCGGCTTTTATCACCAGACAGTGGCAAGGGGCGGGGGGATTTAAGAAAGTTAAAACAAACCAATCAAAAAGGAAGGAGAGGGGAGAAAAAGAAAAGGGAAACAAGGCAGGAAAAGATGGAGACGTGAGATTACGTGGCAGGCTGGAGAGAGTTCCCGCTACCTGGCTAAGCGCAGTGGCCTAGGATGCCACCTCTGCAGAGATCGCACGCAGGTGATGGAGGCACCAGTGCTTTCTGCCCTTACAGTGGACAGAAGTATTGCCAGGTCAGTGTCAGCTTTTCCTGCAGACCAGTTCTTTCTAAAGAGTTTTAGGGCTGAAAGAAACCATAGAGATGAAAGCCATCATTTACAGATGAGAAAATGGGGCCTCGAAAGCAGGAGTCAGCAACCTTCCCGCTCATCACACAAATGCCAGCAGCACACTGGTGCCAGAATCCAGGCTCCCGCTCCATGGTGCAGTGCCGTTACTGCTGAGACCTCGTGTTAGGGTCAGCAGGGTGATGTCACCCAACCCCCACATGTACAGGAGGCAGAAGGGAAGGAGTAGGCAGAAGGTAGTATTTGTGTCATTGTGGCCGCTGTAGTCAAAGGCCCTGGATAAGCAGAGCTTAAGAACCACAGATGACAATCACAAAGCTGGACCTGAGAAATTCTAGATGACTGTATCTTCCCCACCCAATACACAGACCAGTCTGAGCTTGTAATAGATGAAACAATAATCAATAGGCCCTTACACCAACCAGGTAATGACTCTTTCATATTAATCTACAGAAATAAAAACCAAGGGCAGACAGATTAGAACTCAACACTGTAGGCCTCATCTGTCTTGGGAAAGCAGTGAAAACCCACAGCCAACAACCCCTCTGCAATGACCCAAATTTGCTTACTAAGCCAGTGTGAGAGACACATGTGCAAAATATGACGGCATTCTTTTTTTTCCTTCAATAATTCTGGCTCGACAGACTGGGTTTCCATGATAGCCTATTACAATGTAATGCTGTTTGCCTTGATAATACAAAGATGTTTGTAATCCTGTATTCCCTCAAATGTAAAACACCATCTACAAAAGGATAAAAGCCTTAGAGCTTTGTGGGGAAGAAAAGAAACACTACCAGATTGAATGTATGCATCTATTGTAACAGGAATCTACTTTCCAAATGTTAAAATACAGGGGCTGGAAATATAGCTCAGTGAATAGCACTTGCCTAGCATGCCTGAAGCCGTGCTATCCATCCCAGAACCCCCAGAGGAAGAGGAGAGGGAAGGAGGGAAGAAAATAAGCAGGGAAGAAGGGAGGGAAGCAGGGGAGGGAGAGAAAAGAGATGAAGGACTTAAGAGGGCAACTGTGTGATTTAAAAGAACAGATGCAAAGGAAATAATCCTTTGTCCCACATAATTATCATTACAGTTATACTGAGAGTTGCTTATTTGAAAATAATCTAAACAACATAGAGAAATTAAAATCAAATGTTGTAGTACTCCATGCCCTGTCAACAGAATCTGGTACAATCTTACTTGGGGGTAAAGGTGCAGTATATTTCATCCTCTTTGTCCTTGTGTTTTGCTTTGTGTGGGGTCTCTTCCCTCCCCCACACACTGGCTCCTCCTGCAGACAAGGTGGGGAGACATGCTGCAGGGCTGGC